ATATCAAAATTGTATTGTTGAGAAAGAAAATATAAACCCAAATAATGAGTGTAATAATATAAATTCAAGCAATAAATATAATATTAATTTATACTTTCTAAGATCTAATTATAAAAATCTCAAATTATTAATACAAGTATTTATTAATTAATACTAACAATTTTTAAAAAAACCAAAATAGCTTGCCGCTATTACTTTTATGTCAACTTACAGATATCAATTATAATCTTTTAAAGAAATTTCATAATGCTGTTTCTGAAATTAAATTTAATTTCTGTCTTATCTGTAAAGAGAGTTTTTTTACTATTATATTAGTAAAAAAGATGATATATTGTAGCAAATATAGTAAAGAAAAATTATTGCCAAAAAAGTTTTCAGCTAAAAATAATATGGATCCAGGCAGGAACCTGTAAAAATTTGGAAACAAATAAATCTAAATAAATCCAAATTTATAACCAAATTCTAAAGAAATCCAAATTGCTTGTTATTATCTAAATAAATACAAATTTTTATCATTTTTTATAAAATTCTCAATTTTTATTAGTCAAAAATTATTAAAAATCAGGTAACCTAATGTTGAAGCAGTAAATTTCAGAAGTATAAATATTATTTTTAGGTATTCTTAAAACAATCTACTATTCTGTAATTGGCTTTTTTGAAGTTTAATGCTAACAGCTAATAAAAAAATAATTTCAAACAAAATTTTTTAAATAAACCAAATAATTTTTATAGATTCTTATATTAGGCTGCAAAAATTTAATTTATTAGTTCTTGTAACATAAAACTTCTTAAATAGACCCGGCTGGCTAGCTTTTTTTTTTTAATTTTATATATGAAAATTTATAAAATTTTTTTAAAATTTTTTTTTAAAAACTTATCTGGTTATTAAAATATATAAAAAATTTTTTGTAAAACTTTTCAAAATTTGATCTGGCTGGGTTATGAGAACCAATTAATTAACTTTGCATGGCCTTATATATATCAATTTTTGCTAAGATTATAATCCAAATTTATACAAATTTTTGTGATTTCTTAAACAAATTTTTTTTATAATCCAAATAATTTTTATGGGTCTCTGGATCTAGGTATTTAAAAATTAAAAAAATATATATATTAATATACAAAAAATTACAAAATTAAAATATTTTATTTTCTAAGAAAAATTTCTGCAGATCTTCTTTAGTCAAGTTAAAGAAATGCTTATTGTATAAATTATTTCTATATTGACTATTTACAAACTTCAAGATAGGCCACTTGGATACTAGGAGAATGTAATTAATTTTGCACAAGATCTTTAAGAGTTTATTATAAAACTACCTTAAGATCTTTCTAAAATTAATATTTTGATTGTTCAAAAGTCTAAATAAGATCTTAGTTTATTTCAAGAGTTTAAAGTTAAATAATCAAATATCTTAATCTGGTTAAGATATCTCAAAAATAATAATTCTTTCTATTCTAATATTGAAATCGATCACAATAGATTGAATACTCTTTCAGAAGATAGTTCAATATTTAACCAATTATATACTATAGACAATAACAATTTAATAACTAAAAATGTAGTCTTTTCTGATTATAATCAGAACTCTGATGATTTCAATACATTTAAAAATATTAAGTATGCATTTATACCCAGCTCTATTTCTAAAGAAACTGAAGAAATAGCTATATTTACTAAAATTAATCAACTTATAAATGCTAATTTTATTGTGCTGATTAATTAACCAACAATTAAAAATAATCTGATTAATAAATTTGAAGAAATTGGTTATATAGCCAAAGTATTTCTCACTTTATTTCCTAATAGCAAAGCAGATTTACATAGTACTTAGTGATATCATCAGATATTCTCTGCTAAATATTTTAAATACTTAATAAAATATTATGATGAACAATTTGTATAGCATAAAAGATTTTACTATTTTGTATTAGACTTTATTATGAGATAGAGAGCAAGTAAAATATACATATATAAAACTTAAAAGATATATATCTTATAGTAGAAAATATTCAGGAATTACTTAATATTAATAGTTTATTTGCTAACTAAATTGTTCAATTAATAACAATATTAGAGAAATATATATATTCATGATATTGAAAAGTTTCTAATATACTGGCTTTTAACTAGAGGACTATACAACAAAATACAAATTTAATGAACAATATAATTGTATATATTGATTTAATTATCACAGTTATAAATTCAAATTTTGATATAACAATATATACTTTTAAACAACATCCTTGTCAAAAATCGTTAATAAATTAACTGATGACTTTGATGATTATTGTCAATTAGTTAATAAAGTTCAAAAGTATACAAAATGCTCACTTTATTCTTGTCTTATGCTAAATAAAAATATAAATTTAGAAGAATATCAGTTTGGCTATTTGAAAAATCTATATGATTTTATTATAATTCAACCTAATAATAATAGTTAACCAGGTATTATAGAAACTAATCTGCTTCTTCTAGCATTATTTTTTGCAGCTTTTTGTTCAGGTATATAAATTCTTTTACATGTTTGTATTTTAAAAGACTATAAGTTACTAATTGCTTTTTTTTATTTATTATGTATTTAATAATTTTTTTATTTATTATATATTTAATTATTTATTAATGATTATTTTAATGATCAAGATTTCTGATTATTAAAATTTCTGCAAGAATAGTAATAAAAATTTTTTATCATTATTATAGAAGTAAAAGCTAGACATCATCTGAAATTAGTACAGTAAAAAAGATCTTTTACTCTGCTTCTCTCTACTCTAACTTAATTAAATATTAAAACAAATATTGCTTTAAATAAAATTTTGTAAAAAATATACTAATAAAATATATAATAAAGCATTTAAAATAAATAAAATATATTATAAACTATATAAATAAACTAATAAATATAATAATATAAAATATATAATAAAATTTAAAAAGATATTAATAAAAAATTTATTTAAAAATACTAATAAAATTTTATCTATATTATATATTAACAAAAATTATCAGAAGCAAGTACTTGAAAAATATTATTAGAAAGACTAGTATTTTAATATTCTTATTTATAATTTTGTATTCATTTCAAATATATTTCATAAACTTGATATATATAATTCTTTAAGTAGTTTTTTTTTTTAAATGTTAAAATGATCACTTTAGGGTTTAACATATTTTATTTGCAATCGGGATTAAGCTTCAGCTTAGTCTTGTTGATCTTACTTGACTTTGTTATATTAACAAGAGTATAATTAGCCACATGTACAACTTTAGTCATTGCCTAATTAAAGGTTCTGCTATATCTATTTCTATCTATAGTTACTCACCAATTGCTATATCTAAGATCTGCTTGTAAATCTTCTATTTAAACTCTCTGATTGATTTAGCACTATTGTGTTATTTTTACTACTGCTAACTGCCGCTAGGGCCTCTTAGAACTACTTTATTCTTGTAGTAAATTTACAAGAGCGGTCCATATTCTACACATATATCATCTAGTTCAGTCCAGGAATATACCAAATTTGGAAATCAGGTTCTAGAAGGATCTACAAACAGGTTCGTGCATTTGATTGGTCGC